ATTTAAGACTTCTATGCATAATTCAGTTTCTTATGAAAATAAATATTAGAAATTTAATATTAGAATTTAGTTTGAATAATCTCTCATTGTGTGCGCAATAAAATCAAATAATGAAGTGTACACTCGTCAAACGCAGAGCAAATGCATCCATAATATATGGATGTCTGTAAAGTAAACAATCGGATAAGTGATTACTAAGCTGCTTATTTTTATGCATTTATGGAAAATTTGAGAGTAAAAGTTTGCAAAGAATGTATGCAATACGAAAGAATATATAAGATACTCGAAGTGTAACGATTCACAGAATATTTATTATGGAAAACGATTTTCGATGTCAATTCTATTTTCTCAATTCTACCCTTGAAGATTTGAGTTTGATAAAGATTAACTGGTCAAGACAGTCCCGTCCACAAAGAGTTAATAGAAAATTGTCGATCGTTAAGGGTTAACAACGCAAACATTGAGTAATCGACAGAAATCTGACAACAGCGAAGGAGGAATCGAATCAATTTCCGTTTGATAAATCCGCGGCCGGTTCGCCCACAGGTAAAACCTAAGACCGGTATTTTTCCAGCGAATTCGTGGCCGCCAACCGATGATAATGTATTTAATGGAAGATTGAAAGGCGTATTCGGGACGACGGTTTCACGAGGAAAGGAGGCGGAAAAAGGAGCGGACCGCAATCTCGTCGCGGTGATCGTGGAACGCAGAAGAAATCGAAATATTCGCGGCAAATAAATACTTAGCCACGATTCAGTTGGCGTGAGCATTAAACGGTGTCTACCGCGGTTTTATAGGCGAGCAAAACCGCGAGAAGGATCCTGGCGATCGAAGAAAGAAGAGGACTGCCTGCCGACTTTTATTTATATAAACATCGGTTTTCGTAATTTTCCGGTTGCGGATTCGCTGGAATTTTTTAATTGAAATGAGAAGAATCGAGTTACCGGTAATTGGAAATTAATGTCTCGCGACTGAAAACTTCCAGCGCGGCTAAAGATTAATAAGTGTTTTCACTTCGAACAACTTTCATCCAATTTGTCGGAAATCTACAAAATATTTTCACGGGCTTAGACAAATCCATCGTTCCCGGGGGATGAATTTATGGGACAGGATTCAGTTTACAATAGAAAACATTTTAGAATGCATGAAATTCGTGGCCATTAGTGTGAAACGAGTCTCTAATTATGGGGAGGGAGTTAATAATTTATTCGCTTGATGATTTTTCTTTTATTTTCTCCTCTTTTTGTTGGAAATAAGAATATATTAATTTGGAGTTTTGTTAAATTGGATTCAACGATTATTTAACATATTGCACGAACATTAATTGGTTTAATCTTTAATTGAATCCTTAGTTTGGTATTTCCTATTAGGTGTAATATAATTATTAGATATCATTATACCTACTTAAACATTTTTAACGTTCTAATAATTACTTTACATATGAAAAGAAATTTTTATATAACCACGTATATAGTAAAATTTATGTATTTACGACGGATAAAATGACATTTGTCATTATCTTACGTTTTACATAATTTTATTTAAAATAGAATAAGATTTTTCTTTCACTTATTATTAGATTTTGTCTAGAATTTTTATTTTATTTTAATATCTATAGAATTAATTTATAAAGAATCCATACTCGCAATCTAATTACTTAGAACTTGAGTAAAATCGAAATGTATTCTCAGTAAGGAACGTGGGTTAATATTAAATTATCAATGAAATTATAAGACAGTCGAATGAGTCAAGACTGTTCAAGTTGAGGCTCTAAACGCGTTTGAAAAAAAGAATTGTTCCTGTGACTGTTTTCTCACGGTGACTAGAGAACGGATTGAAAACGTAAACACGCGTGACGCAAAACGTATCTTGCACGATCCGCGTTTTCGTGTTCGTTAGAAGGACGACTACATTCACCGTTTGATTTCGAGCTGGAAACCTGATACGATATTAACCCTTAATAACCCAGTGTATACTTTCGTACCGCAACTGATCAGTAGCGTCCTCATCATTATATTAAATAAACTAAATAATCTATTATTATACAAGTTTAAGTTATTATACAATATTTTAGTACAATAATTTATTATTACACAGCAACGATATCAATAATAATTCATCATCATACAATAATAATATTAACAATAATTTGTTATTATATAATAACAATATTAATAACAACGATTTATTGCTATATTATACTTCCATGTTAGATTATTATTCAAGTCATGAATATTAGGTGTATGAATATATATACTGTAACCTGTTTAAGAAAACAATTACACAGCCAAATCAATTTGAAAATATATTTATTGAATTATTGTTAATGCAGAACACGTACTCGACCAAGAGCTGGAAACTTCAAACACACGGGCTTGTTCGTTGAAATTCATAATAATAGTATATTGTCTCCATGTTGGGTTACCATTCCCTTGTGAAAACAGGGTTCCATGGTTGCACGATACTGTCCTTACCCGATGTTTTCTTTCGACCCATTAAGGTTTTCATTTCCTTTAACTCCATAATGCATAAGTTCTGTCGGTATAAAATGCTATTAACATTTTGCCTTCTAATATCGTGTCAGACTTATGGTGAAGATTTCAAACAGAGTTTAAGTTATCAATTATTATAGATCAGAACGAATACAGAATGTGTTTAGAATTCTTTTTTTTTCAATAAATTATTACCGATAAGATAGTTGTATCGATAATAATTAAAAAAAATCATAGAGCAGGGGTTTAATGAGTTTCAAGTAAAGTATTAATAACCTTTTCGTTTGATTATATATTAACACAAAATTATTATTCGATTCTTCATGATAAATATGTTTCATTTATACAAAAACATAGATGATATTGATAGATTTAAATAAATGAATAAGATTCAATATCATCTTTGTTAATCCGTCGTTACTATAATTGTTCGCTCCTTTTCAACTTTTATTTTTTCAAGATATGTTTTACGACAGCAGTAGAGTTAAGCTCCTATTTCATATTAAAAAAAGATGAAATAGGCATATATTCTGATGAAACTTTTTCAAAAAACTAAAATCTTAAATTTTAAATTACAGTGTTCTCGTACTGACGCACACAGACTGTAAAACAGAATGGAACAATATTGTGAACGGAAATAATTTATATTTTGAAACGGATTTGGAGACGATTCGTCTGCGTGGTAACTGAAAGAAATATACACCATCGTTGCTGGTATTGCGTGGCGTTTTGATGCGAGTGCCACGGTATATTTGGAGTGCGACCGAAGCTAACGAGCTGCGAACTACGTGATTTCTAACAAATACCAAGTGTGTTCGAAATTGCCAGGCGGATCTTTTACTCGTGCCATCGAATCAATGAAATTTGTTAGTGGGATTTAACTTTCAAACGAACACTATAAACGAATTCAAGTAGAAGTCAATTTTATAAAACTAAAAAAATGCAGAAAACAATGATTATAAAACGTCTTTATTTCTGTACAAATTAATTTAATTTACATATAGATATCGAAACTTTGTTAAAAAAGAAAAGGGAAAGTTTTTATTTCATTTTTGAACTACTTACAACTTTTAACAATAAAGCAACCAGTAATATCTAAAAACATAATAAGTCTATACAATCGTAAAGCTCAATTTCTACTTATTATAAGTTGATTTTTATTCATCATAAGTATTAAAACGTGAGCAATGCTGTTCAATTCGTACGTAATCGATAAATTATTTGAATACTATTTCAAAAGGATTATTTAATATAATTGGTCACCCCGTTCGTTGGCGCCAACAAGATTCGTTTTTGTAGATTAACTGGAAATCGAAGTCCAATATTAACTAAACGGTCCCGATACGTAAAATAATATTCGTTCCGTGTAATCGGCGTTTCCATTAACGCAGTTCGGTACATAAAATTCCGTATAAAAGCGGTCCTTCCAACATCGCTCTACCGTGAAAGATGAAAATTCTAACTTCCCGCCTCGTTATCTAATTATCCGATTTAACGCGTTTTTATTTCGATCGCTCTCCCTCGACTAAAATGAAATTAACACTATTCTGGTAAAGAGAAACTGTCGACAATTAAACAAAGGTGGAAGGAACAAAAACTGATAATTCTACCAGGAACGAGAAGCATTGATTATCTTTTTTCGATTACCAATTACGATTGTTCGTTTAATGAGACAAGGTTCCATGATTGCGTTGTACGCAGTTTGTCGTGCAATCGTTCGTAACATTGCATTACGGTTACCTACCGAAGTAAATTAATGGAAACTACTTGTTAAAGCAGCACCATTAAAAATAATAGTTAGATGAAGTATAATTCAATTTCAGGGACCGGCGCTTCCTTTTCACTTCACGGTAATTAACTTCAATTGAATTCCTGCCAGTGATGAAATTACCTACGATTGTCGGCACCGGTGTGCTGACAAAAGCGTTAAAGAGGTCAGAAACTAAAACGTAAAAATTCATCGGGTTCAGTATCGAGTTGAACCGAAAATTTGCAAACTTACTTTGAATTCATTGTTCACTACAATCTTCAATCAGATCTATTTTCAAGGTAAATATAATGAAATCAAATCCAGTTGGGTTACTGTATGAAACATTCCATTAATTACATTCTATGGAATATCTTGATAAAATGAAATTCAATATTCTTCAATGAAATTCCATGTTTATTCTATTTTGTTTTGTACAATTGAATGTTTATATTTTTTATGTTTAAATTCATTTGTTTATTTAATTGAGTTCTATTTATATCTTGATAAGATGAAATTTGATATTTATTCAATTTTGTTTTATGCAATTGAATGTTTATATTTTGTATATTTAAATTCACTGTGTTATGTACCTGATTGACTTCTATTTAAATGTTATCAATTAATAAGAAATTACTTAAGAGATTGAATAAACAAGAAGATGAATCTTTTATCAAAATCTATAAAGAAATATATTTAACGAACACTTACTTACTTCCTAATGATTATTAGAATTATTATTTGCTTGATTAAGCAAATTTGTAAAAAGAAATGTTTATAAGTCACGATTGGAAATCATTAACCAGTACGTTACGTAACAATAGCTTGTAATTATTTTTTATGTAAAGAATTTCCTTTGAAATTCCTACGAAATTTTACATGTCATCGTTGTTAATGTAGTATCATGGGTGGTCGAGGGAAAAAAGTTCGCTATGCGGTCTCAGCGTTGACTCACACCAATATTTCAAAGAGCTGAAG